TGCTTTAGCATTAAAATATATCATATTAAAATAGCCTATATATTATTATTATTATTATTATTATTACTGTCCCCTTACTGTACAAACTGTAAATATAGGCTTATAGGGTGATTTTGAAGGAGCAATTAAGTTAATCTTCTCATAAGTGGATGTAATATGTAGAGATGCCATCTAGGCCGTTTTTCTTCATTTTTTTTTTTCTTAAAGTCTATATTTTGCTTTACAAAAACGTGAAAAAGCAGCTGTGACCAAGCTATCACGAGCTGAGTAGCATTGTAAGCATAATTACTAGCGATATATTTCAGTTTGTCTGTGTGTTTTTGTATGCAAGCGGGTCTGCTGCGGTCTGCTGACAGTCCAAAATGGCAGCGGTAGGACGAAACCATGGGCGAGTCTGTTGCTATGGGGCGTTCTACTGAGCTTCGCCTCTTGGTATTCATGCTCTTTGACCAAATCTCATTACACTCAGACGGAACAAGTGCCGAATTACGACCCCGATCACAGGACTCTTGCGGGGTTATGAGCTAAGAACTCCCGCTGATTAGCTGAACATGTATCGATCTTTTTTATGAAGTAAGGATCGTGTAGTCCCCAGATGTCGGAGCGGAAATCAGTTTCTGTGAGACTTTTTCTGATTCACCTTACAGCCTACTATGCTTGAGGATTTAAAAAAAATCTCTTTTTAGGGTGATGAGGTCATACAACATGATGACAGACTTTCAAAGCTTCATTTGAAAACCTCAATAAAAGCTCTGATTGTAAAAAAAAAAAAAAAAAAAAAGACAATGGGTACAGCCCTATTACACTATCAATGCACATACCACATATACTGTCTGTGTGTAAACATGTATAGATATATATGTATATGTTACAGGTGAGATATTACCTTATTATTATTATAACATAGTTGTGAGATATGATTGTATAAAAAATTAAAATTTCAATGGAAGAGGAATATAAGCGACAATCTGTACTATGTTAAGAGAAAAAGAAATTTCATGTGTATACCTGAGATACAGCACTCTTGACATACAAGGTGTGTGTTACTGGCAGGTGAAAGGAGCTCTTTTGTTCTGTGCTTTCTAAACATCACATCTGTATGCAGGGTTTTCTTCTATCCACACTTAAGTGTTGCATTCAGTGCATGTGAGGAATAAGTGATCCCAGGCCCTACTGGCTTTTAGAGATGTGTCCTCTAAGCTTGCTCCTGCTGACTAAAGCCACTGTGATATTATCACAAAGAACTAAAGGATGCCACTTGGTAGCTGGTTGGTCCTCAGGAAGGAAATCCACACACACACAAATAAATCTATTTTTGTGGGGTTTTTTTAGTGCCCACAGAAATGCTTGAAATATTTAAGGTCTAAATGTCCAAGGTCGTGAATTGGTCAAAAGTATTGTGTTTTAGGGTGGATTATTCCTCCAGTTTTCCTCAGCAGAGTGCAGAGGGACTTAGAGCTGAGGCTGATGGCTGGGTCTTAAAGCTGTGAGGAGGAGCAGTGCAGTTGCGGGTTTACTCTGCTCTCACAGGCTTAAAAACACTGAAGGGCTCAGAGCTTAAAGTGAGCTGACACACCAAGGTTTCACCTCGGATTAAGGTGCTTTCTCTCACACATGCAGGAAAAGAGGCGTGTGTTCTCTTCATGCAGCATTGTTGCCTCTGAGTACTTCCTCTTCTACTTCAAGCTGTATAATGGTGCCTGTACTTGTGTTATCTTACCTTAACTTTAGCTGTGATGTTAAGTGGGGAGTACCCTGCTGCCTCGGTGTACTCCCTCTTCTCCTGATGAGCTTGTGCTCCCACCAGGTTGTTGAAGTTGGTGGTTAGGTGGCGTCTCAACAGTGTTTTCTGAGGAGGAATGTTCAGCAGCATGGCCAGCGTGTCTGAGTTAAACCGAGGTTCCAGCATCTATGAGAGGAGAAACACATTTAAGATGTTTTCTGTAGCATTTTGTTTTTCTGTCCCATGAACTGTGTGATTAGATGCACTCACCACCAGCCCTCCGTGTACGCCGCTGCCTCTCAGGTTTGGTGCGTACTCTGCCAGATCCACCGATCTCAGCCACTCCATGACTCGGTGGTTGGACCACTGGACCACCTCACTGGGAGCAAACTGGCTCTGAAACATGTGAGTGTTATTATCTAATTAGACTTTTAATAACACATTTCAACCATTTTTCAAACCATGCAAATGTTTTCATAATGGTCTACTATGCAGGATTTTCCTAAAAAACAATGTACTCTTAAAAACTTAATTAGCAAGAATTTATAAATATATGTTTACAGTACTGTTTACAGTCAAACATCTTGATGCACTGTAGGCTCAATTTTTGATAAATCAAAAATCTGAGAAACATAGTTTTTGTAGGACAGTCTAAAGATGTCTGTAGCAAGTTTGGTGTCAACTGAGCAAAAATTGTGGGAGGAGATAGGTTTAAGAAGTTTTACAGTTTTTGAAAAAAACAGTGATGAACTTCATAATTTTTAATAGGTTTAAATGTACAAAAGTTTCTTCAGTATTGGGACTACATTGGTGAAAGTTGCAAAGCTGTAGCACATATGGTCGATTTGTTGTGAATTTTCAAAGTTTTAAACTTTAGACACTTGCTGTAGCGCCACCATCAGGACTATTGGCTTGTGTTTGCAGATGAGCAAATCTGGCATAGGACTAAACCTTTGTGCAAAGTTTGGTGATTTTTCACGCATGAGACGTAGGATTTCCTCGGAAGAAGCAGAAGAAGCAGAAGAAGCAGAAGAAGAAGAAGAAGAAGAAAAAAAAAGAATGAGCAAGAAAACAAGAGGGTCCTGGCAGGACTGCCTGCCTGGCCCCTAAATAGGATTTTTAAACAGTAAATTAACATGGAAAAGAAAAATGAGCTAAAAGAGAATAAAAACAATAAAAAAAGGAAAATAAAAGTTACAATGCAAGATATAAATTAATTTTAATAATATTAGATTAGGCAGCACGGTGGTGTGGTGGTTAGCACTGTCGCCTCACAGCAAGAGGGTTGCCGGTTCGATCCTGGGTGTGGGAGCCCTTCTGTGCGGAGTTTGCATGTTCTCCCTGTGTCAGCGTGGGTTCTCTCCGGGCACTCCGGCTTCCTCCCACAGTCCAAAGACATGCAGATTGGGGACTAGGTTAATTGATAACTCTAAATTGTCCGTAGGTGTGAATGTGAGTGTGAATGGTTGTCTGTCTCTATGTGTCAGCCCTGCGATAGTCTGGCGACCTGTCCAGGGTGTACCCTGCCTCTAGCCCAATGTCAGCTGGGATAGGCTCCAGCCCCCCCGCGACCCTCAAGAGGATGAAGCGGTTAGAAGATGAATGAATGAATGAATGAATATTAGATTAGATTAAAACCCAGATTTACAGTTGCAAACAGAAAAGTTTAAAGCCCTAATTTAAAAGAAATTAGAGTTTGGAGCAGACCTTAAGTTCTCTGGGAGTTTGCTCAGGAGTTTGCTCAGTTATGTGGCGCACAGATCCTGAACACTGCTCTTTTAAACCAGTGATACTCAATTTACATGTACAGCCCAACAGGGTGCTGGGTTGCTGGCTGAACATTTTGCAATTCATAATGAAAACAAATTAAATCCCACTGGGATTTTTTTGTACTTTGAATATAAATCAGGTCCTAGAGCACATAAAAAATACATTAAAATAGACCTTGTTTATAAAAAAATAAATGAATAAATAAATTAAAGTGCCAGGGGAGGATTCCCTGGACCTTCACAACAGAGGTCCAGGCTAAGCCTGAATGTCCTCAAGTCCCAGAAACGCCCCCTGGCAGAGCAAGTTAAGTATATCTGTTTTATCAATATGGTCACACAAACACACACATCTACTTACCTCATTGCTAGGCCTGCGTTTGAGGCAGTTGGGGTTGAACTTGTTGACATGAAGAACATGAATGGCGCACTTAATGCTGAGGTGATGCAGCTGGCTGGTTACTTTAAGGAATAACAAGTCGTTCTGAGATGGATAGAAGATGGAGAGATGAGCACAATTACAACAAGGGAAAGACAGGGTGAGCATCTGGTCTTCGCATTCATGGTTCTAGTGTGTCAATTATAATCCGGACCAAGAAAAAACAAATGCTTTAAATAATCCAAAAAATTACCCACACTCCCTGATTTTACTTCTCTAGAATGCCATGAACCCAGCTTTAACTTTAAAGTAGTGTGCCGCTTAGCTGACAATCATCATCATTAGCAAACAAACTCACCACAGTGAGGTACTGCAGCATCTGCCCATCCACTCTTCCTTCATTAAACTGGTCTTTGTACTGAGGAAGTCCGATGTCATCAAGCCAACCTTTGGAACATAAAATATCAGTGTTAATGTAAGGAATGTAAGGGAGCTTCAGAATGAGCTTCTCTGAGTGAGTGTTTGATATCAGTGTGTGGTTTGAGTGCATACGAGTGACCCAGATGTAATCAAGCTCTGCAGACTTCTCAGGCTGCTTGCTGCTGATCGTCTTGATGGCTAACTGCAGCTTCTTCCTGTGGAGCGGATTCTTCATTGCTAGATCCTGGAGACACAGTGAGAGAAATAACTTACTTCATCTTGCCACTATTACTTCAATCTTACAGATGACTTTTCAGAAAGAGAGGATATACTGTACCACCATTAGAGTGAACAATCTAATTAAAATAATCGTGATGAGAGAGACAGAGAGGTTCGGGGGGTCTGAGGTGGACAATGTGACAGTGTTGAAGGCGAAACTAACAGGCAGGTTGAAAAGCAGAGACAGGCATTGCTAAATGCCAAATAGACCGACAGACAGCAACAATTATGAGACAGGTAGAACTGACAAATATTTGACAGGCTGAATGGAAGATTATTTTGTCAGGTAAACCCACTGAACCAGACAGATGGCTCAGAGGCACCATTTTATCAAACATGTTCTATATAGAGTAGTAGGTGTGTGTGTGTCTGTGTGTACCTTCTCCAAGTCTTGTGGGGTGGCAGACAGTAGCGTATCACCACTGGAGACCCACTGACAAGCCAGGATGCCGTACTGACCGAGTCCAATTTCCTCGAGCCAGTCACACACCTGCTCTGTGCTCCACTTACTAAAAGGCATCTTCAGGTCTCTGACATGGAGAAGAAAAGAATAAAGATTAACATTGAACACAGAAACCTGTTTGAAATGAGACTCATGGAGCTGGAACCACAAACAGTTTTACAGTGATGGGCTCCAGCAAATTTGAGAGGTGTGTGATATATTGTGATACAAAGAGGACCACAGTGAAGTCTTGGTATATTTCAGCTCCTTTACTTGATGTGTTATTCTTTGCCATACTAACTTATAACACACAACTTCACTACCGGGAAAAAACCTCCACCAATTAATCCATGCTCTACTTTATAAATGCAGTAGTGCAGAGTCCAGCATGTCTTCATGTATGTCTGTTGCAGAAGTTTGCCATAACGTTACTCACTTCTAACACAAATAATGTTACAGCAAAACAACTCCACTAATCAAGTCCATGAAAATATGAAAATCCATTTGCTGATATGTGAAACTTCAGTGAGATGGGAATCCATCACATTTAGGATTGTGTTTGGTTCTGTTGCTGTAAAGCAGTTGAGAGTGCCCATTGAATATCTGCGGTATTTCTCCATTTTAAATTGAAACAAACTGAATCAAACCTGGAGGAAAGAAACTGAGTGAAAGAAGACGTCATAAAAAGAATAATGTAAACTTTGTTTTTGAACTCAAAGGCTTGGTCCAAGTAGGAAGACAGTACAATGTATGTAACAGTACCATTTTGCCAATGACCCAAACCAGTAAACAGTCGTCTACCAGTGCTCCATTACAATCTTATTATAATCAGAGATATGAGACATAACCTGTGGTGTGAATTTTAATGGTTATGCAGGCTATTCAGCTGTGATCTAAAACTGACAACCACAGTATCTTCAGTACAGAGTCTCTTCCTCTGGTAGTACATGGAGGTATAATTGTGTATTTATACCGTGTGTTCCCTGAACGGGCCAATCTCGGTCCAGCTGTGGCTCTGAATCCTCCCCTCTTGAACTCTCCTAGTTCGGGGTCATGAACCTGGGCAGGACTACCTGACTGACTGCGACGGATCCTGGGGACAACGCAATGCAGTGAGTGTGACAAGGAAAAATGGAAAAAGGAAAATAGACTGAGATACTGTGGCTGCATAAAAGTAAACAGCAAAGGATTTTGTTAATACTGTACTGTATTTGCACATATACAGTATATCTTTAAAACTTACTTCCCCCAGAGTTTCTTGATGCCTCTGTGAGTCTTCCTGTTCTCTGGTGAGACAGGGGACTGCTGCCCAGAGTCCACTCCAGAGGACAGTGGGGACTGGTCTGACAGAACACACTCCTCGAGCTTCTCCGGATGCCCTGCAAAACAAAAATACAAGAATTAAATAACAGTAATTTCATTTATTTAGCCATAGGAGACCCGCAGGAGACCCATGGAGATCATGGTCATACATACAATAATCTTGAACTTGCCTAAAGAGACTGAAAGGCATTTAACCTGCTGGTTTCTTGAAACCCATTCCAGGCTCTATGTGCACAGTGATTAAAGCAGCTTTTTGCCTGTTTGGTTTTGACTTTCGGAGCTTCATGAGCTAGCCAATCCTTAGATCTTGTCTGGTACTGATTACAACTCCTTGTAATGAGAGATGCTGGGTAATTAGGTAGCTTCTGTAAGATGGCTTTATAACCATACAGGAGCAAATGCTGTGTTCTCCTAGCAGCCAGGGGTGGCCAATCCACTGCGTGATAAAGATTCCAATGATGCACTCTAAAATGATCACCAGTAATAAAACACATTTCTGAGTCACAAACGAGCTGTTTCAAGGGAGGTAGCGGCAGTGTACGTATAGATAGTGTCATCATGGTCAAGTACTGACAGGGAAGTAGTTTTTTTTCTCGAAAAACATGTATATCCAAGAAGAACCAGAATTTCACCCTTAAGAAAAATTTAAGCTCTTGAAGTGAGCGCTGGATCGAGTCAAAAGTTGTCTGCAAAATAGACACAATCCTCCAGAAAGAAATACAGCACAATATCATCTGCATAAAAAAGCACCTACAGACATTTTCAACAGAGACAACATAACTAATATACAAGGTGAAAAAAATTATTGACACTGCATTTCAGCAAAGTAAAGAGAAATTTGGTGGAACATAATGGAGCATTTAGCAGCTAAAGAGGTGGTGGAGACCTAAAACAGAGCAAAAATTGCTAATATTGGAATTACATTCATCAGGTGGACACAAAGACAATTCTAAATGGATGCAAATATCCATATCAATATAACATTTCCGTATCTGATGGATATGGAAATGGGTAACTGTTTGCTAGCATGTTAGCCAGAGCAACATTTTTAGCTTGTTTTGCTGGGGCCAAGTTTCCAAAAATTAATCAACTGATGAAGCTTTAATAGTTGCCCATGAGTACCTGAGTACCTAAATGAAAAATGGTACCAATAATGTTTGTTTGAGCTGTCCCAGCTTAAAAATTGCATACCAATGCATCAAACATGTGCTACATCTGGTAATCGTTTCTTATCACTCACACCGGATGGAAATCATACAGAAACTACAGGCAGTCGTTCTAAATTCATACATTCAAGATTTGTTTTGGACACTTGGTGTTTTCCATGAAGCCTTAACGATTCTTCTTCTATGCTATATACACTTGCACTACAAAGAAGTACATTTCACCCTGGGCATATTATTCATCACCCATGTCATGCTGACTGATCTCAACAGGATGGTAACAGAGTTACACACTGTTGAGATGAAATACCCACCAACATCATAGAGGTCATGTTTTCCGGGAGATCCTGAGGCAGAGGAGGTTATCAAAGTGAGAAGAAAGCAGGCAGAAATAAAGCAGAAGCAAGTATTAGTCACACCCTCTTTATCTCCAAAATAAAAGCTGTATAAGTGTGTACATAAAGCAGCAACATGCTAATCTACGAGCCTCAGGCAGGTACCAAACTGGGCCAGGAACTCAGACAAGATTAAGTCTGCTTGTTTACATGAAACTCATATTTTTCCGACAGATACTGAGAGTGTGGGCGGCTCTTTGTTAGCCCTGAAGCTGCTCAGTGTCCAAGCCATAAGTAAGAGCTCACCTGGCATGACAGAATGACCAAGAGGAATGAGGTCATCCCACACTCATTTTCTTTCTTCATTCTTAAAGGGACAATTCACCCCAAATCAAAAATACATATTTTTCTTCTTACCCGTAGTGCTACTTATCAATCTAGATTGTTTTGTGTGAGTTAGAGTGTTGGGAGATATTGGCCGTAGAGATGTCTGCCTTCTCTCTATTAAAACTGAAGTAGAAGACACTCAGCTTGAGGTGCTCAAAGCGCCAAAAATTACATTTGAAAAACTCAGTAAAAGTCTCTTTGCATACATCATGACCTGGTTATTCAAGATAATCCACAGACCTTGTTGTGAGCAGTTTCATGTAGGAACTGTTTTCTTTCTACCGGACTACTCCTGCCAACCGAATCACTGCACAGAAGGAAGCCTGCATCTACACATGGATGACAGGCTTGTGCTCCTGACAGTGTGAGGTGTAAACATTAATGGTGCCCTCCTCAGCTGAGCTGTAAAATTAGTTAGCTCAATGGTGTTGGTAAGTTAGCTGTAGATGCAAACTTCCTTCTACATGGTGATATAGTCCGCAGGTGTAATCTAGTGGAACGAGTTTTCATTCTAGGTTGTCAAATACTGACACTATGTCAGACTGGCATGGCATCACGTAGCAACGCATAGGGCACTCTTCGGTGTCTCTATGTGATGCATAGCTGGCTGTCTTCTAGGTGAGACATGTCGTAACGCATGATTAACATTGCAAAATGGCAGTGGTTATAATGAGGCAAAAAAACTACTTGGTTAGGTTTTGAAAAAGCATTATATTTTGTGAGTAACATAGGTATGTGATACACAGACGTTAGTTACGCAAAATTACCTTAAAAAAAGTACAGATTTTTGGTTTCACATGGGACACAAATAGCTGTTTACTGGGTGAAAGTCTACTTTTGTTTGACCCATCTACCAGCCCTCCTTTCCACCCTACATGGACTCCTCGCTCTTTCCACTACATCAGCTGCTCTGGGTGTCAAATATTACCGTGGATGGGTTTACATTAAAATTAAAAAGCCTGGCATATCTCATAGAGATGCCGAAGGAGGTCTTCAGCCTCATTGTCAAATGTTAAGAGTGTGACTAAGCAGCGCAATTTGAAAACCTGGGAATGAGAACCAGCTGATGAAACAGCTCACAACAAGGTCCTTGGATTATTTTGAGTAACAAGGTCATGATTTCGGTAAAGAGACATTGCTGTTGATTTTTTTAAATGTATTTTTGGTGCTTAAAGAAACACAAGCTGAGTGCCATCTAGTTCCATTTTACTGGAGAGAAGGCAGATATCTCTATGGCAAATACCTCCAAGACTCTGCAACTCACACCAAAACAATGTAGATTGATAAACAGCACTACACATAAGAGGAGAAATATTTATTTTTGATTTTGGGTTGAACTGTCCCTTTAACCTGAATCATCCCTCTCAGAAACCTGACCAGAGGCTACCTCCTCGAGGAGTTTAACCAAGGTGGTGCTAAAACAAATTGCCAACTCATCATATGGTGATGTGATGGGGAGTTGTTTGATGGAACGATTCTTTTAATTCCACATCTGTTTACTTTGAGCACTTGCTCGACTTGCTCTTTCTCAGCAACATCCTGCTTCAGACTGTCAGTGAGAGCGTGCTGGGTGAGGCGGTGAGAGCAAAGGGGGATGTCAGGTTACATCTTTGTTTGTTTACTTTGGATGTCTAAGCTAGTTGAACTGCACACATCCTTAAGCTTGCACTCCTCGCCCTCTCACAGCCCTCTGATTACCCTCCTGCTTCAAGCTCTGGCTTTGTGTAGGCTGATACATGGGTGGCTGTTCGCTTATATGCCTATTAGCTTTAAGTGAGTGCATGTGAGTCTCAGTGGATGCTGATGCGAGAGAGTTGGGCATTATCTTCAGCAGCTCTCTGAGTCATGAAGGAATCCTGATAATCCCAGGCTTTGAGGAGCTTGATCCTGTGTGAAAACAGTTACTCACCCTGACTCGGCTCTGAGCTATGGCTGTCAGTCTTGTTTTGTGTATGAGATAACTGACAGGAATTTTATTTGTCAGAAAAGCTTGTTTGTATGACTTCAGAGTCAGAACAACAACATTAACTAATGACTCAGATCCCAGTGCTGACATTTGAATGTCTGTGTGAGCATACAGTACCTAAAGCCGGAGCACTGGCACTCCTGCAGCGAACTGCAGCCAGAACACAAACAGAGAAAAGAGCAATCCGACAGTGAAGCAGAAAGAAGGAGAGAGGGAGAAAGGGCACAGAGAGGGAAGCAGTTGGAGCAAAGTTAGTTGATGTTAGTTGAGCTCAAGGGTTATTAACTGAAATACTTTTTTTGCCCAGCATTAAAGGGTCCATTCAATTACTTATTTTTCCACTTAACCCCTGGGGTATTCTTTAATTGTAAATTGGTGGTTTTGTAATTTTAATTAATCTGCCAGAGAATTTTATACAGCTGAGGTGAATGGTGGTTCATTTGAGGTGCTTAAAACAGTGAAAGTGACATTTGTAAAGCAGCAGCTTTTCAGAAACAATGGGCCTCGTGCATGAACATTTTTATGTCCTTGTCTGAAACATCTCTTTTTTCTGTGAGGTTTGCTTTTACGAGTGTTCCAAGTCAAATACACCAAACTCTGTAACCCTTTCTGTAACTGTACAAAGTTGTTATAAATTGCTCGTTTCATCCGAGTGGCAACCTCGAGGGCTGAAAAATAGAGCTACTGGGGAAGTGCCAAAAACTGCAGTTCCTCGAATGGTCACTTGAGGCTGGCTCCAAAAGCGAGTCAATCCTCATAGACCCCTATCTTTAAATGCTCAACTTTGCAGCAGAAATAATCATGCTTACATCCTGGTACAAAAAACAGTTTTGGTCTTTGTGACGTCATGACAACTGTATTGGGGGGTGAATATTTGTATAACTCACCCATTTATATTTTATTAAGGCTTGAAGTTGTGCATAATTAAGGGAGTGTCTACCTTGGGTGGCGTCTGTTGACAGGTTGCTACCACAGCAACAACACTGTCTAAGTAACGTTACCATGGCATAACCCCACAGTCACAGAGTAGAGCTGTAACTGTCTTTATTTCAGTGTGTTTCCAGTTCATTAAAGTTAATCGTAATGTTTTGGTTGTCAAAAAATTGCCAAACTTGAGGCTTCAAAATAGGAGTGTGCGAACCATTAGGTTTACAGCATAAGGCTGTCTGTTTTGCCCTGTGGTGGGCATGTTTCATTCACAAAAAGCCAAGAGTTACCCCAGAGTAAAAACAATTTTAGAGAGCGGAGCTTCAAGACCTGAACAGACTGATTAGTAGGATCGGGTGTTCCGATCCCTACATTTCTGTACAACATTTGACTTGAATGGGGTGGTTATTGGAGATGACCACAGGATGATGTTTCTACTGTTCACACACATTTTCAGTTGTGTACCTCGACGTGACTGAGCGTTTTGGCCTTTTGTCACATGACACCCTCAGCAGAGGCAGGCCAACCGTAGGCTGATCAGAGCTGGGTGTGTGACTCTAGATGGTCACTTGGCAGCACAGACAGCATCTCTTCTTTTCAGCCACAGCCAGTGATAGCTTTGATTTCCTTTCACACACCACAACTTCTTCATTAAATCAAGACTCAGGGCATTTATTACATTTTTATTTTTTTCAAAGAATCTGTTTCGATATTTAGATATTTGTTAAATTATTTTAGTTCACTATGTCGTTGTCTAGATAATTGATGTTGTGCTCACTTTATGCCTGATGTTACTGATATTCCGTTTCTTTCCTCAATCACATCCTTCCTTGTAACTTGGGAATATCACTTCCGCGCTCTTTTGTTTGATAAATACACTACAGTCACTGTGATAATTTAATCCAGTGTTGGATTTCTCCAAGTGGAATAATCTTGTAACAAGAGCACCTGGTCTGAAATGAGTTGTGTAGCTTGTGCACTTTCAGTCAAAATGACTAGTCAGTCAGGGATGAAAAATGTTTTGAAGTGCGAGTAGCCAAAACAATCCCCAGAGACAATGCTGGCATTGTACGTTACTGCAAACCACAGATTTGTTACATTTGCATTATTGCATTAGTGGAATGAGATACATTTTCTTAAATAAGTCGTATGTGCCACTTAACAACAAACCTGTTTAAATGGTTCTTGCATGAGGCCCAATGTCCCAGACTTCACTATCAACACTTTTCATTAAAACCGTTTTCTTTAAAAGGCAGTAAATACTCAATATTATCTTTCTAAAGCATGGCAAGCAGATGAAATCAAACAGAGTAATTATTCTCCTGTTGATTAGAGAAACCTACTGAGAGTGTAGTCCTGGTCGTGGCTGTGGACAGGAGAGAGCTGCACAGGAGATAAATACTCTCCATCTCTGTCTCTGTCACCATTTAGCTCAGCCCTCAGCTCGCTCTTTTTACTTTTTAGTTTCCCCGGCAGAGTCTGGTACTTGCTCAGCTCCATGTGAGGACTCTGGTGAATAGAAAAAACAAAACAGCACATTATTTTTTTAGTCTGATTCAGCACCAAATTCCAAAAAAATTACCATAATGTCTGTTCAAAGTGTGGTATCATAAATGTACTAGCCTTTATGGGCAAGCCCTCATAATTCACTGAATTCTAATTTAAATTTAAATGTTCTTGAGACAACTTTGATGAAGTGGACACATTTTTCTTTGTAGTTGGAAGTTATCTGCTTCTGATACTCTATGGCATTTTATTTAAGATGAGTTTTAGGTATATCACATTTCATCTACATCTATATACAGTACTATGTTCAATCGCATCTAAATATCTTTCATAAGGTAACAGCAAAGTCATGATTTGATTTGCTCCTTTGCTCTGTTGTATAACAGACTGTCCTTTGCAGGGTCAATGTCTGACAATGGCTGTATCTGAGCAGGCATCACAGTCAGTGAGGCTCTGAAGGAGTAAGAGGAGAAAGGCCAACAGAGAGAAAACATCTGGGAGGCACCCATGATTGCAAGCACTTCTGACAGCCACTTCAGGTGGGTCTTGGCCTTTTATGTGTGTGTGTGTGTGTGTGTGTGTGTGTGTGTGTGTGTGTGTGTTTGTGTGTGTATGAACACAGTATGTTCATGTGTGTCTGTGGAGCGAAGACTGTGTGTGAATGAGCATAAAGCTGTGATCATATAGGAGACATCTTTCTTTTACTCAGAGGTTAAACTTTTCTTTTCACTGGCAACAATCAACCAACAGAAATGTATCCAGTGTGTGTGTGTGTGTGTGTGTGTGTGTGTGTGTGTGTGTGTGTGTGTGTGTGTGTGTTTATGTAGGTTAGGTGAAGGTTAGGTGAAGGTTAGGTTGTGTTAGGTCATGCAGCAGATCAGTACCTCTGCCCTTGTGTCTGATTCAACTGGCTGGATCTCTACAGCCTATAGCCAACCAAGACACAGGAGAAAGGAAAGAACACACACACACACACAGACGCACACATACACATACACACAAATCCAGTTAGATAAAATCAGATTAAAAGAACATCAGTGTTTATTGTTTATTTAGAAAGAACAAAGTCAAGCAGGTTATATATTTCCACATTGAATTGACACTGTACCTACGGCCTAGGCTCTGTGTAGACACGTGCCCTACCTCTGTAGTCTGACGTGCAACTCCCCAGAAATATAACTACACACTGCAGCGACATAGACCTTCTGTTTAATTCTTGTACACTGAAAACCATTTCCCTCACCAGAAGCAAAGCTTTATTTGCTTTTATTTCAAACATCAGAAACTATAAATTGTAATGACAATAAAGTCCCCACAAAATGGCATTTTAAGTCTTGTGTGTGATTTAACCTGGCTTCATATGAGAAGAGGAAACGATGGCTAACTAGGCTAGTTTAGCTCTAGGCTAGTTTATGCAATACGAAATGTCATAGACCTATGCTGATAATGTTAGCATATTGTATATATGTGGAAAACATGTTCTGTATAACACTATTGTTTCATTGGTGAACCTTGTGGGTTACAATGCAGTTGAATTTTGTAACATGACCTTTGTTAAATGTTGCTGTTGTTCCTGACTTCATATGAGTAGAGAAAAATTCCACTAGCTACTAGGCTAATTTATGCAATGTAGAATGTTAAAGACTTATGCTAACAATGTTAGCATGTTGTATTTGTGGGAAAAACGTGTCTAGCAAAAGACAATTTTGTCTGCGACCCTTATGGGTTGTAACTGGTTATCGCTATTATTGCATGTTTTATGTGCTTTAGTAGTTAGTTGAATCAATCAAACTTACAGTATCTCACATAAGTGAGTACACCCCTCCCATTTTTGCAAATATTTTATTATATCTCGTCATGGGACAACACTATAGAAATGACACTTTGATATAACTTAAAGTAGTCAGTGTACAGCTTGTATAGTAGTATAGATTTACCTTCCTCTGAAAATTACTCAAAACACAGCCATCAACGTCTAAACAGCTGGCAACATAAATGAATACACCCCACAGTGAACATGTCCAAATTGTGCCTAAAGTGTCAATGTTTTGTGTGCCAACCATTATTATCTAGCACTGCCTTAACCCTTTTGGGCATGGAATTCACTAGAGCTCACAGGTTGCTTCAGAAATCCTCTCCCACTCCTCCATGATGACATCATGGAGCAGATGGATGTGAAGACACCTTGTGCTCCTCCACCTTGAGCTTGAGGATGGCCCACAGGTGCACAGGTGAGTTTAGGGCTGGATACATACTTGGCCAGTCCATCACCTTCACGTTCAGCTTCCTCAGCAAGGCAGTTGTCATCTTCTAGGTGTGTTTTGGGTCATTTTCATGTTGGAAAACTTGATAATGAAAACTTGCAGCCCAGTTTCTGAAGAGGGGCGATCATACTCTGCTCTGAATTCTGCTCATGCTCTGAACATGATCGCCCCTCTTCAGAAACTGAGCTGCAATGCAGTTTTCCAACATGATAATTATAATAATAATAAGGTGGAGGAGCACAAGGTGTCTTCACATCCATCTGCTCCATGATGTCATCATGGAGGAGTGGGAGAGGATTCCTGAAGCAACCTGTGAGCTCTAGTGAATTCCATGCCCAAAAGGGTTAAGGCAGTGCTAGATAATAATGGTTGGCACACAAAATATTGACACTTTAGGCACAATTTGGACATGTTCACTGTGGGGTGTACTCACTTATGTTGCCAGCTGTTTAGATGTTGATGGCTGTGTTTTGAGTAATTTTCAGAGGAAGGTAAATCTATGTTACTATACAAGCTGTACACTGACTACTTTAAGTTATATCAAAGTGTCATTTCTATAGTGTTGTCCCATGAAAAGATATAATGAAATATTTGCAAAAATGGGAGGGATGTACTCACTTATGTGAGATACTGTTAACTGCACTTCACAGAAACTCAACACAGTGGCAAAGAAACCAACAACTAACTAGGGTTCTGTAATTGCAAAGCGACGCAGACGAACCACCTCTCAAATATAAGAGCTCACAGCGGCATAGGTTACATGTGTAGGCTCTGCGTACAACTATAAATGAGTCTTTAGTGAGCATGTTGATCAGGTGTTTAGTAAGAAATAGCAGCAGATGTAGCATGTTGGATCAGACATTACAGATTAGTTATATTAGATTACAGAAAAATGAAATTCAATCAGTAGCAGTAAATGATTTTATATGCACTAACAAACCTTTTGTAAGGATCCACTCTGCAACTCTTCAAGACTGCTGGAAAGCAACCTGCGCTGATGCCTGAGTAAAAACAGAGTTCAGAGTTTGAAAAACAATTAAATGATAAATGATCGCCACCACACTTACTGTATGATGACTGCCTACATTTTAATGGCCTTACACCACACATTTTTTCAAGCCATTTCACTGTCATAGACAAATTTCCAATGTTGGTATAAAATCATGAGAGTTTTACTTCTGTTGGTGCAGGCTCCTGTTATCTCAGTCGTTGGGTGTAAAGTGGTCATAAAATTCAGTCTGCGCTGTCTCAAGTCAGTCTCAATATGTTTGATATAAAAAAGTTTTTAGTCTTGGCTCATGCAAATACTGAAGTTTATTGTGGTGAACATTGTCAACCATAAAAAGATGCACTCTCTCCAGCACCAAAAAAGAAGCAAAGCAGCAGCAAACTATGCTGACAATTAACACAGAGGGGACTCCGGGGAGACGCAAGAATGTGAACAAGTCCCGGTTCTCTTGGACCACGAAAAAGGAGGAGAAACTGGTGAGTTGTAGTTCACTCTACAACTCTACAACTCACCAGTTTAATTCGGTGTGTGTCTGATCCACCATCCAGCACTTATTGAGAAATCGTAATTTTTGAAACAGTTCACCTCCTTTTCATTGTCTCATCCCACTAAAATAAAGCAGCTAATCAACAGAGGCTGGAAGCATGCTGAGGCAACAAAATCTAAAATGTTCACTACGTGTACAGTTTATCTTCACAGTCTATTATTCATCATTCATTCATTTTCCTTAACCACTTATCAGGGTCGCCCAGTGTCAGTCTATCCCAGCTGACACTGGGTGAGAGGCAGGGTACACCCTGGACAGGTAGCCAGGCTATCACAGGGCTAATGCATAGAGACAGCCAACCATTCACACTCACATTCACACCTACAGTCAATTTAGAGTCACCAAGTAACCTGCATGTCTTTGGATTGTGGGAAGAAGCCGGAGTACCCGGGGAAAACCCACGCTGACACGGGGAGAACATACAAACTCCGCAGAGAAGGGCTCCCACACCCTGGGACTAGATTATATTGATGCTAAATTGACAAGAATACCAATGACATATGACACCTTTACTCTTGTGTTTCAAGAAGTATGTGTTTTTGTGGATACACAAGAAATAGTTCATATGTCATATTTCTTAAAAGGGAGTTTGGCATAATGTTTTCCACCAGCAGTGGGATTGGAAATAATCTGAAAAGGAATCTACTTATAGTCTTGCAAATAGCAACCCTGCAAGATCCCCAGTCTTTGTAACATCTTACAGTGTGTGACTAAAAACACACACTGTCTTTAGATGTAAGAGGGTGTCAGACTTTAGTCTTTATTAAAGTCTTTTCACACTCCTCTAGTGTTTGGTAGCCTGAAAGCAAGGCAGATTTGCACTGTTCAACAGAAGTCATTCAAACACAAAAATCATCTCCTTACCACGATCCATTAAAGAAGCTTGTATCCCCAGTGGACAACAGTGATGTGTCCATAGAGTTCTGGATACTGAAATGGCACACAGGGGTAAGATTAATACTGAGAAGTGAGACGTGTGTGTGCAGGTGTATTATGAGTGTTTATACCTAGAGTCCAAGTCTCTCTGGTAAGGAGATGAAGATAGCATAAGTGGAGAAGACCCTCTTGATGAAATCTGTGCAGAGACAAAACACAAGTTTGTTCTTTTTAGTTCTTCAGAAACAATATCACAGATACACAGATTGTGAAGTGTTTGGATTACTGCTTAAAATTGCATTCAATTGTTAGAAATTATTAAAAAAAAAAAAAAGGGTAGTGTACTTCATCATCTTACCTCTGACCTGACAATATCAGAGTGTGCTTTGTGTGTGATGGCTCTGAGCCTTAAACTGCCACTCAGCTCCTCTTCACTGCTCCCTGGATGGTGAACAACCAATATTACACAATTATAAAAACTAGGACGGAGAGAGTTGTGTTTTCTTCCCAAACTCATATTTCAGGAGAGAAAGTGATGTCATTCTCACCCTGTGTGAGTGCCATGACGTCCCTCATCTTTCTGTACTGACCAAGCAGAATGGTCAGCTCCTCGATTCGTCGATCCTGTCATCAATAAGACATTAATATTTTGTCTTTTGAGAATTAAAGAAATGATGGAACCCTTTTATTTTCATCAAAACAACTCTTAAAGTGAACTTTCATTTCAGCAGTGGTGTAGAAAAACAGGTTTCATTTACCTTTTCATCATTTGAAGCCAACAAAGACTCCATCCCCACCTTCAGCCTCTGGTATTCTTGGTCTAACAAAGAAAAACGAGGTATTGAAATGTTATTTTGGACTCACAGTAGCCTCACGTCTTGTTAATTTAGGGCGTCTGATGGGTGGGTGCCTGATGCGATGTTGGCGACAGACATGACAGCCATGCTAATGTGAATAAACAAGCAAAACAAATACACACTGACAGCGCGACTGCCCATACACCATCACCTGTGACAAACACTGCAGCTTTCCATGGTGACAGAACTGGTGTTGTGTATAGCGACGATGCCAACAAAAAAACAGAAGTCTCTTCTGGGTTTCTACAATTACACTTTCGTAAAAAATTTGACTTTTATAGGCAACACAATACAAACACACACGCACACACACACACACACACACACACACACACACACAAACTCAAACAAATCTGGGCTTTATTTCATTCAGTATCCTTTCAATACAGGAACATATCTTAAAGGGGAACTCCACCAATCTTTAAGGTCATTTGACCAGTACTACTCAGCCTGTCTATACAGTTATATAATGTCCTCTGCGTCTTTGGAGGAGTTGTGTCAAATCTGTGAGCATAACCTCAATGATGACCTCAGGTTATCTCAGCTCATGCTGCAAATTTAGAACAGAATACCAAGGGTACAGACAGGGAGGGTCCAACCAGATGCTATTGGTTGCATTGTGGGAATTAAATGCAGTGTTTTTTGGGCTTGACCCATACTAAAGACCAAGATAGGCATGGACAGTATCATGGTATTACTGTATACCAGGGTTTTCAGAAATCCTGACAGTGCGATTGTCCATACTGTCATACAGGCACTCCTCTCTCTATTAACACACACACACTCATACCATATTATACTGTATACCCTGGTAATATTTCAGGAAGGTATGAAAAATTATATACCGCCCAAGCCTAGACCAAGAGTCAGAATTTATTGGCCTCTGTTGCATCAATTTTGACTATTCTTCTCCTCCTGCTCGGCCAAGTTCTTACGGAAGTAATAATTGCTGAATACTAAATTGCTAGATCACCCCTTTAAAATATCTGGCTAAGGCAAATCAAAAGAGACTTACGCTAAAATCTGACATTTTAGATGGCATTGCACATCGAGGTTTATACACGCAGATACCACGGCCACTGAGAATTCTCAAGATAAAGAAGATAAACAAATAGTTTGATCAGACACCTATGATGCAGGTGTTTGCTTACAGTTTGTTAAAGCTCTGGTAGGCAGTTTAATTTTGGTGTCATCAGACAAAAATCCCATCTAGGGGTGTTTTGTAATTCAAGTGGTCTTCAGGCTTTAAACAATCTAGGATATGATGGGAGACTTTGGCCAATCACATGTCATTTCAGGAAGAGAGGGCATTCCTATTGGCTATCAGCAAACTCTCTGTTGCTGCTGGTACACAGCTTAGACCCCACACTGCTGCTGGCCACCAGCTCACTGTGACATCCAGGGGAGGAAAGGTTTAGCTAAAGCTGCCATCCAGAAGTTTCTCGAGCTGCTGCCTGACTCCTCCCGGGGAAGCAGTCCACAGAGCAGTAGCAAGCGAGGTGGAGGGACAGAGGGGTGGCTACCTTTTGTTGGCTAATTCATGTCTCACTTGTGGTCTGAGCTGTTCTTACTTTGCCTGATTTCACAACTTGTAAGGATTTTAAAACTGCAGTTGGAGCCTTAATGACTGATACTTCTCATTTGATTTAAAATACGCCACTGTGGAGGCAAGAGGCTGTGGCATTAGCGGGATAAAACCCTTAATGTATGTACATTCCATGTTGCACTGCTTGACACTCTCAGAAAAGCTCTAAAACCATGCCAGCCAGAAGGTTTGAAAGGATGCAGAGTCTTACAGCACTTTGATTTAATAAAGCTTGAATGTTTACTACAACCAGCACAAACTTAAGCTCAGGTGTGGTCAAATCTCAAACCAAACACTCCACCAACACACACCTGATAATACTACTACTAAGCTTAAACATTTAAAGTAATCACTTGCTGTTCTCATGTTTTGGATTTGTAGAGATTTGAGTCAAAAACACTTGGGAACGCTACATAAATATTTGTTATGATACAAATTGAGAAATCAAGTTGTCAAGTGGCCGTATAGGCAGAGCAGTTTGGTTTAAAATGAGACCCCTAACGACAACACACCATGCCTTACATTTGTTAATCAGCTGCTTGATATACACCTCCTCTACAGCAGAGGTCAGCAGAGAGTCAAAAACAAGTCAAGTATACAGCAGAGGAGAGAGGGACATGTTGATTAGATATTACAGTAAGTGGCTCTAACGCACACATCTGCAATGACAGATGTGGACCTAGAGTGAACAGTCAGACTGTCAGCTGTGTGTACCTCTCTCTGTGTCACTGGCTGTGCCACCTCTGGCCAGCAGCTGGGTCTGCAGGCATTCAATCTCAGCATCTTTGGAGGCCAGGAGCTGCTGCAGCTCGGATATCTCTGCCTGTGGAGGAAGACAGAGTACAAGTCAGTGATCTGTGTTAGACTTCCAGGTCACTGGACAACTAGGAGTTGTAAAGAGTTTAAAGGAACACTTCATCCACAAAATGATCATCTGTATATCAATTACTCACCCTGTGTTAGTAAATTTGTGAAGAAAAGTTTGTTTTTCTTGCATTCCTCCACAGCAAAAGAAGAACTCATAAACAAAGACAATTTTTGATGAATTGGAGTAACATTTCTGCATATGAGAAGCGCACCTGGGCAAATATGTATGTTTGAACTCTGCTTGTGCATTCCAGAGTTTCTCAACAGATGTTTTGATAAAGTTTTGTTGTTGTTAAACGCACCCACCTTTTACTTCAATTCATCAAGAATTAGCACATTTTTGGATTCTTCATTCACCGTGGAGGCATGCCAGAAAAACAAAGTTTTCTCTACAAATTCAGTGCAACAGGGTGAGTAATTGATAGAAAAACGGCAATGTTGTGGGCGAAGTATTCCTTTAGGTCTTTGGTAACTGGACTTGTCTTTTAAAAACAAGAGTATTTTGTCAGGTTTACTGGCTAACTGGACGGATAAGAATTTAAACTGTATGTGATTTACAGGCTGATGTCTGATGGTTCTCATATCAGAGGCATCAGAGTCACATGAATGAAGTGTGAATTGTCAAATCACTCAGGAAATGATAATAGACAGCACTGTGAGCTGTTGATAATGCAAGTGCATCTCCTCAAAACATAGACCAATACACTGGGAAGAGCTCCACCATAGGTATTCCAACTTCCGACAGCTACTGAATATTATCAGTACTATTATATTGAAATTTAAACACCCCTAATTGATGATATTGAAATATTTTACTGTAAAAACTGTGTCTGAATCTATTTGTTCTGAATTCACCTCTTAAAAATTAATTCTGAAATATTTTGACATGCAGTTGCTCAAATTTGATTGGTCAACTTCAGATACAAAAATTTAAGTTGACAAATTTCAATTAGCAACATCCAGGCTATCCAGGATGGGATAGGCAATCAAACCTGAATGTTTATGTATCAGTTGCACAAAAACAGAACAAACTGCACAACTAACCAGAGCCCCGTCGTTCTCTCTGTCATTTTGGGTTTGAGCTGCTTTCTTGGATCACATGACTGACAAACTGTGCTCTGATAGGCAAAAAGGCGGTTTGCTTGCATTCAGGCTTAACTGCCCATCCTGTCTTCCGGATGTTGCTATCTGAATTTTTTTTTTGACTTGAAGATGTAGATCTGAATATGACCAATCAAATTTCCGTAATGTGAATCTGTTTTTTTAACTTGAAACTTTACATCTGAATTTGTGAACATTGAGAAAAAAAACAAAACATTCAAATTCAGCTTTTGAAGTTGCAGATTTCTCTCCATACCCACAGTACAGTATTTTGGCCAAAACAGACAGATTATTAGAAAGAGGAGTCCATGTGTATTCATGAGATGCACCAAGCAGTTCAACATCTCAACATCAATTTTATTACTGTGGCATTGAAGACTCTCACATGACTACCTCATGACTAAAAGCTAAGGGCTTGTTTAACAACATTTTTTTTTCCACCTTTCATAACTTCCACTGAAGCTCACATGACAAACTGATAAATTAAACACTGTTTATAGTTTTGGTGCTGCAGCGTCCCTACTTTGATTCTGACCTTTGACTTTGATTCTCCCCCCTTTGCTTTTTCTGGCTTCTTGATCACTATTGACTGTCCAATAAAAAAGAAAAAAAAAAACCAAAACAGTTTACCCGTATCAAAGTGCCCTGGGGACCTAGAGGCTAAATGCTGACCATGAATCGCAAAGTCCTGAGTTAGCGCACCAGTGCATGTATGTGTCCTATTTTTGAGCTTGCGACTTTGCTTGCATCTAGCTTAACAACCTAATCTGAGTTGAAGATAAAGGATAACACATAATGGGGACAAAGCAGCTGAAGAACAACAGCAGAGAACAGGTGTGCACAGGCATGCATGTTTACATTGGGGGTATGCTATAAACCCAAATTAACACCTCCTCCAGCTGCCTAACAATAAAAGCCATGACGCCAAAGATGCCTAGAAGCCTGCAATAAAAGCAAGACAGAGTAGTGAAGTGGGCTGAGTTATGGTAGGCCTATTAGTTTGTTTTCTGTATGTTCCTAAAAAATGACTTTTTTCCATTAGTTTGGTAAATTGAAGGACACTAAATACTGTAGGGTCTACAAAAATTATGATTAAATTCGTCCACTTTGAACAGCATCTGTCAATGGTCACTTCACTGCCTGCTGAGGCCATCATACTGAAAAACCACCTGGTGCAGCTTTATGCGCACACTTTGATAGATGGGCAATAATGATCTAATATGAGTGATCGACCCAATTGTCAGAAAAAATGTTAACACGTTCCCATGTAGTGGATTGAAACTTAACATTTCAAAAATGCTGTAGTTAACGTGTGGTTATTGTTCGGAAATTATAATGTGTTGGCCTAAAATACCCCATTTGGGGGGCACAATCCTGGCAGGTTTGTGGTTAAAAAAAAAAAACATTAGTATTTGGGCCACAGTATATACTGGAAAAGCAGTGAGGTCTGGTTTTGGCCCTAAAAAAAAAACAGCTGGAAAAACTGCAAATGGTTGCTACAGAACACCAACATTTGGTGTCCAAAAAGCCGCTGGAAACACAGCAATATCTTGCTAAATCACAACCATTTTTGTTGTTTGTTAGTCTCTAAAAGCGTTCTGCAGCTTGGCAGGTGTGTTGCCTGGGTGACACACCATTCACCATCCCCTCCTCCTCCTGATGACAAGGTCAGCTTACATACTACATCCCTTACCAAATGTTAATATGATACACATGACATGTGCAAATGTAACCTTTTGTGGTTTGTAGAAACCTACAATCCCAACATTTTCTTCTGGTGACTGGGCGGGCGTGATATGCATGATCACAAACAAGTGTATACACATCATAATCATAGACTTACATCATCCATGCAAACTCATGAAGAAAACAGAAAGAAAGAGAAAGTCAGCAGGAGCAGCATGGATGTCCCTTTTTTCCTCTTCTTCACACTACCATGTGAGCACATACTGCATACCTTGTCAAAATCAGAATGTTCTACCACTTATCTTTTTCCCTCTGTCTGTCTGTCTGTCTGTCTCCCATTCCTTCTCACTTGAATATTTGTGATTGAAGTTGAGCAACACATCACAAGACCAACAACACAAGGAGGATCAGGAGGATGAAGAAAAGAGGAGCTGCAAGCGCAAAATAAGGAAACTACGAAGAAAAGGAGGAAGTGGAGAAGCAAAGGAGAGCACAGGTGGGGAAGAGGTAGAGAAAGAGGAAGACAGTGGGAGGCAGAGTGTTAGCTAAAGGACCTGGCACTAATCAGAGGAAAGGAACAAACACAGAAGTGACGAGCAAGAAGACAAGAGGCAGAAGAGGAGGAGGAAGAGGAGGCACCTGTGCGCTGCGCCAGCGCTCCTCCCAGTGCTGCTTCTCCAGCTGCGTGTGCTCCACAGTCAGCTTGAGGCTGGACAGCTGGGTCATGAGCGACTGGTAACACACATGAAGAGAGTAAGAGATAGAGAGCTAGAGAAAGCAGAGACACAGGAAGAGGGTAATGATGGGTGGTGATTTAGAGATGAGGAGAAAGAAAAGAAGAGCGGAAAAAAGTGGAGAGAGCAAGCAGCAGAGAGGAGAGGGATTAATAGAGAAGGAGAGAGGATACAGAGTGGAAGAGGGAGAGGAGGGAGGAAGCACTGTAAGCACAGAGAAAGCAATGGCAGTTTGCAATAACAAACAATGTGTTAGGAGAGGAATGCTTTTTTAATCAAAAGATATTAACCTCTTGAACCCTGTTGGTCCATCATTATGAAGCCAAAAATGACTTACTGCAATTTTAATCTTATAATCCTGAAATCAGTCTTTCACTGAATTCTTTAAATTAGCCTACGGTGTTGTGTTGCCCCCCTTCATACAGCTGCTCTGCATTTACAATGATACATTCCCTAAACAATCTTTGACATTTAAAGGCATAAGTATATACAACAGATTAGAAAACCAGTTACACATAAATGGCCAAGAAATTACTTTTTTCTGGAGGAATCTAGTTTGCACGACATGATACATGCAGTGACTGCTTTGTGTGCTACGTCATCTTGGAGTGCCGCCATTTCTGTGGTGCTAAGTAACAGCGGCAAAGGTTGAAGCTCTTATTAAATTATCTCAGCTAATGGATGGCAAACTTTGGCATACAATGTATTGCAATGTATTATAGAATTTCTGCCAAAAAGAATTTAGTTTTCCATGGTTAAAAAAAAAAATAAAAAATTCTACCAAACATTAGGGGTGGGGGAAAAATTCAATACAACATGGTATCATGATCTTTTTTTGTGACAATATTGTATCGCTACATGCACGGCGAGTATATATTTTTTTATTATATAAATTCTAAATATTACAAATACAAATCAAACTTTTGGTAGCCCACTAAAATAATACAATCAATATATTTTTCAGTCCACTAGATACATTTTGTTGCAATAAAAATGACCTGTGGGATGATGAAGTGAGATGAACAGATTGAAAACTTTGTCAACATTTGTTTTATCTAAAAAGATAAAGTTAACCTTTGGGGACATAATTTGCAGTTGAAAAAAGGTATTTTATTGCAATATATTGCAATATAGGTTATCCCAATACTCAGCATATCGAAATACATTTAAGATCGCAATAACATTGTATCGTGACCTAAGTATCATGATAATATCATATCATGGGGCCTTACTATACATAGAGCTGCAGGTGTTCTGTCGACATGTGCTACCTATTAAGATGTGCTACTTTGCTGTTCTGCACATTCTTGCAGTATACATGGTGTGAGCAATGGTGTAATGATTCTGTAGTGGGAGCATTATATCATCTATTGACATATGTTATCTCAAATAAAGATGTCAAAATAAAGTTTTGTGTTCAAGAATGTAATTTATTAGGGATATGCAGCTCGTTTTTTTTTTGTTTTTTTTTTAATTTCAGCATTTTGATTGCAGTCCCTTTCCCGTTTCCAAATGGTTAGGGTAAGGTTGCTTTACTCACATCATACCAAAATGTTCTTTTCAGTTTTATGTATGTTGTTGTAATGATTGTAGCCATGCAGGCTATAGGCACAGCACGTGACTTTGATAAAGATCTGATATAATGAGACCAAATGAACCCTGCAGCTGTTCTTCTTAACATTTCTCTATGTACAGTACAATGCACATTTTCAACTCTGTCACTCTTCCATACAGACCGCTGGAATCTTTAACACTAACTCATAGTGAAAATATATTTCTCCTATTACTCCACTGCAGAGCACACAACATATGTCCTATATGTTTGTATGTTAAAGCAGTTCAGGTTGGCTGATCACAAAGATGTGAGGTCATTATGCAACATGTGAGTACCTTGGTGGCTCTTAGTTTCCTCTCATACTGGCCCTTCTCTCCCTCCAGTTCCTCCACTTTGCTCTTCAGCTGCTTCACTTCTAAAAGCAAATCCTGCAGAAAAACAAAACAAAACACAGCTTTCTTTTACTTCATACGTCTTTTTCAAAGCCAGAAGTGTTCTGACATTTCTGAAAACTAATAAATCTGAAAATTATGTGAAACCCATCTCAAAGTTAAAATCATGACTGAACTGTACACATGCCAACATATAAACAGGAGGGTATTCAAACATCAGGTTCGCATTCAGTGCAGTTATAAAGGACCCAGGGACTCAACAGTACAGTGGTTAATATAGGAAACATGATCCTCCTGAAACAGATACCACAGCGTGCAGTTATCAACAACCAGGAAAAGGATGAACCTGAGGACCCAGAACAAGACTGAAAGCTGCCCAGGCTGCCCATCTGTCAGCTGAACACTGACACTGTCCAAAGGAAACCTTGTACAGCAGTAAATATCATTATAGGAACAGTAACACGACCCATCCACCTGGTCAGTGTAGGAGGAAACAGACGGATGTAAACTTTGTTAGTAGAGGGAGGAACCACTGTCATGCAAGCAAACCACATCAAATCAAATAACAACACAATGCCTGCTCCACAACCCAATTTAAAAGATTTATAAAGACAAAATGTTTCTTTTTACAAATGCTTCAAAAACTTGAGGAGTAACAACAGGTCTTACAACCCTACAATAGCTATGAGTATGTTGCTATTGTAAGTAGGGATGCACCAATAATGAAATTGTGGACTGATACTGATGTTTAAAATAACATTTTTTTAAAGTGTATATTTCTTTGTTTTCCTGGCACAAAATGGGGAATAAATAACAACTCTTTAACAGTTATTTAGCCCTTCATTACATAAGCTTTGAACTAGGGCAAATTCAATCACACTAATTTATAAAACATCCTTTAATATAACTTTATTTCCCATGAAAAACATCTTTTAAAAAACAGCATTTTTACTATATATCTTACTATTTATCATAATTCCCTCTCTAACACTTGTTTTATATTGCTGTAAAAACATCCTTCAAATAGCTCTATTTACCCTAGTTTCTTGCTGAAAACTCAATTTTACAAAATGACATTGAACATAATATTGTTATATTATAATTTGCCTTCGACCAATACTCATTTTTACTGACAGTTTGGGATGAAATTTCATTACCTTCTTATTTTTTAAATGTTTGAAATAAAGTATATTTAAATTGAACTGAATATTGAATATTGAAATTGAATATAGCTTAAATGCATCATAATGTAACTCAATAGCCCCATTTACACTGCCTCTCTAAGGCAGGAATTTCATGCCACTATGCCACTTCGCTGTTCTGTATAAAAGGTACAGTTGCGAAAAGGAGGGACAGAGTTGTCTCGCCTTTAAGGCATCATCTGAGGTATTAACAGCACTGACACAACATCTGTGTAAAAACAAAAAAAACAGCAGGATGGGACCATGGGTGGCACGTGCGTGACGTTTTGAGAACATGTTATGCGTGCGACCCACCACAGGAGATTTAAAAAGTAGCTGATAGCAGTTAGCAGCTACTTGAACTGTGGCTGACAATGGCTGTACATTGGGAGAACAGGATGAGATCAGCTGCCATATAACAGAGACAGTAAATGATTGTTATTGCCATGTTAATGCTATTGTTACTTGTTGTTACAATTGTTACATCCTCTGTTATCTGTTAGTTCCAGCTAGGGTGCATCCCCTGAAGCACTGATATTAAGTTTATTGCATCCTTTTGTCTGTGGGGCGAGATCTCTGTTTGTCCCAAATATGTTTTATATTGTCCCCTGGACGACAGGACACAGTTAGTAAATCCTGCTTTTAGCATGCAAAATTTATGTGACATGACAAAACACATCGGTCACTGTCATTGGTGAATGTCATCATATTGCTGATAGCAATCAACAAGTGCAGGCAGTCAACAAGGTGAATATCATAGATATCGATGTTTAGCAGATAAATCGGTGCATCCCTAATTGTAGGGTTCCTTTTTTTTTTTACCATATTGTTACTGACTAAGCTTCAGCAGCCTTAATAACCCCTCAAATGTATGAAAGTATTTGGAAAATCAATTAGAGTCTCCATGTCTGCAAGAACCAGAGTAGAGCGTGACCCCGACATCCTGCAGTGCACACACACAATCTGCAGACACACCACAAGAGAGGTTGTTAGTTTGATTCTGTGGAAATATCCAAATACCGGGTGGTGTGTGGACTGGTTAAAAAGGGAGGAGAGAAGAGGAAAAGAAATGATGGGGGAGAAGGGGAAGATGAGTTCATCCATCAAGTCTCCCTACGTGTACATTCAGTCCTCCATTGTACATCTGGGCGTCAGAGCCAGACAGGCTCAGGTCTGAGCTGGCTAACCCGACCTGAGGGCCGTGGCCCTGGGCTTGGCTGCCTCCGGGCTCCCCCTGCTGGGCCTCCCTCTCCTCCAGGGCCCGTTTCTCCTGGATACGAGTGCTGATCTCCTCCTGAAACCTGCACATCTGCTCCTGAAGCTCACTGATGAAATTTACCACACACTGGGAGGGGTGGAGGACAAATGAAGGGCAGCAGAGGAGATGAAGTGATGAAGAGAAAGGGATAGGGAGGAAAGTGAGTTGTGAGAAGAGGAGAGGAGAGGAGAGGAGAGGAGAGGAGAGAATCAGACATGATAATTGTTAATCTAGTTAACATTTGGGAATGCCTGTTTCCATATCTGCAGGACTGTTGGCTTTTACTGGGAAAACTCAAAACGTCTTAAATTTTAAAAGCATCTGAACAACATATTGCATTGTTACAGGGTTATTAATATCAGAAATGACTGCATAAGAAGGAAATGAAACTGTAAAATAAAGAAATTTCTTAACATGAGGGTGAGAAGACATACCCATCAGCAGCACAAATGACACACAACCCATACAACGCCACTAAGGAACCCAAAAGGAACTCCCCTAAATACAAACATATACCTTTTTCCATGGGCGGTAATACAACTATGCAATTTATTATCCTCAGCCTGTACAAAATGAGTTAGTGTTTGGGTGGTGAGAGTGTGTGAGACAGATGCAGGCTAGGCGTAGTGCCTCACTGTCTCACATTGTTGGGATAGTGTGAGATGCATGTTTGAGTACACCACTGAACACACACTCAGTCTTTCTGCTCGAATTCTCTCTTGGTATCATGTGAGGACAGACAGGAAGAGAACAATGAGTTTATTTTCAGGTTATTCTGGGGTCACTGCAGAAAGCAGACGGTCCAGAAGAGTTTGGAAAGCAGAGGTAAGGAGGCAAACACCATCTGTCATCTTATATGAGCAATGAACTTTTAACTTTAAAAAAGAATTCAGACATTAAATTTGGAAAATGAATTGTGTGTGTGTGTGTGGTGTGTAGTGTGTGTGTGTGTGTGTGTGTGTGTGTGTGGTGTGTGTGTGTGTGTGTGTGTGTGTGTGTGTGTGTGAGACACAGTGAGCAGAGAACAGAGGCAGTGTGACCAGAAATGATCGTAAAACTTGTCTCAGCATAATTTTTCTTTCATAGTCATTCAGCATAGACACTGTGGCCAAGTTCATGGGTGTAACTTTGGTTTGAAAGGTGGGTGGGCCACAAAAAACAGTGGGGTCAGGGGCTCTTTCACAGGGAAAAAAAAACATTGCGATTTGAATCCCAATTCCTACATTTAAAAAAATAAGGTCTGGGAAAAAATTAAGTTGGTCATCATGCTAAATTCTGCCAATAGAGTACTACATATATCAAATATGCTACTTCTCTGTGGCTTTTTTCCATATGGGTGTATTAGAGCAAAATCAGCAGCTCAGTTCACATTCTCACCAGAATCTGACAGCTGGCCAAACAGTGGTGTACTAAGCACAATATCTGTAGTTTAAAAAAATATGTTTTTGAAAATGTGAGGGGACATAAAGAGGATTTTGGACACCCCCTTCAGTGAAAATGACACCTCAGCCCAAGGCTGAGAATGGTAGGGAAAACCCTGCTATGTATTCTGTCATCATGTTGGCGACATTCATAAGGCTTCTGTCCACATGGTGTTTTTTTCACAATGAGGGGAGATGCATACGGCTGCATGCAGCCACCTGGAGAAAATCCAGTGTTTTTTCTTCTTTTTTTTTCTTTCCAAAGTGCAAAGTTTTGTGTGGCCACTCCAAGCGTTTCTACTTTGAAATCTCTGAACTTTTCAGAAAGGTGCTGGTGACACAGACACCGCTTCTTTAGCTAGACTACTGTCACAACAAAGACAGAAAAGCCCATGTGTGGGAGCAGATTGGCTGGACACAGAGTGTTGCTGGTCAGTCTTGTGCTAATATCACTGTATGCTTTGTAAGTTTGTTGTTAACTGTGTAGTAGGCTCTCTGTTAATGTAGTGTTATGTTAGCTACCTAGCTAACCTGACATCATATCCTAATTAGATGTGAGCGACAGACTATTGCGCTGCATCGCATTACATCGGATGCTCTCTGTCCACACTGGATCCATTAAATATGGAATGCCGTCATATCATGTTATTTGTTTTTTTTAAAGATATTTTTGGGGCATTTTTTGCCTTTAATTGATAGGAAAGCTAAGCGTGAAGGGGGGAGAGAGAGAGAGGGAGTGACATGCAGCAAAGGGCCACAGGCTGGAGTCAAACCTGGGCCGCTGCGGCAACAGCCTTGTACATGGGGCGCCTGCTCTACCACTAAGCCACCGACACCCCAGCGTCAATATTGTTTATTTATGTAAAACCATTTATCAGCTAAGAAAGTGGGATACAGTTAAATAAATGGTGCATCAGAAAATGTTTCACAGGACAAATGCTACCAGGCAGCCACAGACTCCTCAGAAAGGCAAATGGATGGACTGTTGTGTTGTTTAAATCAATACATTTAACTTTGCTGAAAAAAAGTCCCTCAGAAAATATATTTGATGTGAACCATCTTTAAGCTCAATAGAGTTTATAGCAAGCAGCGCAAGACAGAAAGAGACAGCAGACGGACAGACAGACTTACAGAGAGGAACAACAGACATCTGGGTAGACAGAAGAATTCACACAAAGCTTCTCTTGAGTCTACTGCCTGTTACAACTTTTACAGCCAGCTACACAAAAGAAAAAATGCATGGTCATCCATTTGTTCCTGAAAAGCTGGTGTTTTAGTCATTCTGTGTGTTCATCAGACAGCAGTGAGTGTGTGTGTGTGTGGTGTTGGAGTGGTTTCCTGAGGTGAAAGTGTTTGGCCCTCAGGAATGCTCAGAATGGATGCCTACCATTCCTCCTGCCAGCCGAACGGAGCCCTGCAGCTGTTACAAACCACACACACACACACACACACACACACACACACACACACACACACACACTGCTGACAGAAATGTAGACCCCTGTCAGTTGCCATTGTAACATGACCAAAGCAAAACACCACCGCTCCACATCGGATATGTTGGATTTGGGTGTGTTTGCATGTGTGTAACATCAGTCACTGTATCTTATAACTACACCAACTAAGCATCAACCTGTTGATGTTAAAACAGCTCTTTTAGACACCAGAGGCACAACTGATGTTGAGATTCAGGTGGTGGAGATTTAAGCTCAGAGACATAGTGATCCCTGAACCAGCTAGAGAATCAGACTAAAGGAAACAGAGAGTGCAGCTCTTTCCTGAGCGCCCTTGAGCCTAGTATGTATGGTATGAGCTCAGGTATAAATGAACTACATGCAGGCAGGCAGGTGGGCAGCAATGAAAACAAATATAATCACATGAGCCCAACCTAGGCAGCAGCTTCTGCCTGATCTAATCTGAAATTGACTATCTTTGTGTCAATTTGCAACCACATCAGCAGCAAGAGGGAGCTGACTAAGCAAGTGCTTTGCACATCTAAATGGGACAGTACTAGTGTTGCACGGTATACCGGTACTAAAATAGTACCGTGGTACTAGAGTATTCCAAACAGTACTATACTGCATTTGGAAAATACCGGTACTTTTTAAATTGATTCAATTCATTCATTTGTTTAATTCATTTATGCACACAAACGCCTTCCTTGTTCCTATTGGAGCACAGATTGCACAAGTGGTGTGTATGACAACACCTGTATCAACATCCGCAGCTGGCGCACGTGAAAAAAGACAAGAGAAAGTCTGCCTCGCAAAGGGAGACAACACGAGAGAACACAAACTTGGTGAAACATTTGAGTTACCAAACCGTGACGTCCGTACCGAGGTACTTACCGAACCATGATTTTTTTGGTACCGTTACACCCCTGCTATTTATTGTTCTAAAGGTTTGTATCCAAAAGGACTTTTCCTTAGGAAAAGTACCGAAGAGTATCGAAAAGTATCGAAATTCATAATGGTATTGGTACAAAAACAAAGAATCTGGTATCGTGACAACACTAGACAATACATTACACAAAAAGGTGTAAGGTCAATGGGTTTAATCACGGGATGAGACGCGGGACTTACAGTATATACATGGGTTGGGACAGGCCCGGGTTTGACTTAAAGATAATTAAGGTAACATTTGGGTTCAGGTGCATGCAGGTATGGGTTTGCAAAACTGGACCCATGCAGGACTCTTATCTAGTGCTACTTAGATATATACTGTATCTACTTGGATATATACTGTATCTGAGCCCCTCTGTGTCCAGAACACTTTAGTCAGAACAGACAAAGAAAGACAGTGACTGTGTTGTAGAACTGCACACTGTCTTGTTTTTATCTGCAATGTTGGTTGGTTGGGCAATTGGTTCACCACTTTGGTGGAGAAAGAAATATCTCAACAACTAATGGACGGATTACCATAATGTCTGTAGAGACATTCATGGCCCCCAGAAGATTAGTCAACTGACTTTAATGTTCCCGACTTTTCATTCCACCATGAGGTTGATGTTCATGGTTTTGTGTGAAATGTCTCAACAATTATTGGATGGATTGCCATGAAATTTACTGGACATTCATGTTCCCCTCAGGATTAATAACTTTGATGATCCCTTAGCTTTTCCCCTGGTGCCACCATGGAGAATTTCAAGTTGATGTCACGCCCTGTTCATTTTTTTGGGACAGGTTGCAATCTTACAGACCTTGATACAATACCTCCACTCGCATACCTAGACACTGTAAACTTGTAGTTTTGTTTTTGGAAGGAGTGCATACACTTTGGTAACGGAGGTAACATGGCCCATTTTTCCCCTTTAAACAGTGTTTTTGGGTGGGTGTTTTTAATGTCTTATGTTGTAAAGCCCTCTGAGGCAAACTGTGATCTCTGATATTGGGGTTTATAAATGAAACTGAATTGATATTGAATTGCATGACATACTCTCATATTCTTTAATAGCTTTTTTAAAATGTTTAATCAGCCAAATACTTTAAAAATACTTTTAAAAAATAAAAATATTAAAAATATCTGCAAAACTAATGACATCCCCTATGTGTTTAGTGATAATTAGCAATGTTAGCATTCCAACACATTACATTTTACCAACAACATTTTACCAACTTAGCTTCGGCATGTCAGTATTGTCATTGTAAGAATGTTAGCATGCTGACA